GCTGTTACGCGCATCATATCCAAGTAAATAAATGTAGATAATTAAGAAAAACAGAATGGGCTCTTCTAATTGCCCATCATAAGATCTCAGTACCCTAAAAAGGACATTTTGGCACTAAGAAGGGCCCCTTATCCAAACCCGGACGTTTCCTATTTACGAATGGGCATCGTTGTCGCAAAACCGAGCACCCTGATTCAGAGCCGCGTCCATCTGATGCGTGAAAGGTGAGTCCTGTCCCAGAACTGGCACCTCCTGAATGTAAAGGATGGCTTCAAGTCCAGTAAAAGGCCTCCTGGTTTATAATGGGGGCTTCCCGAGCTAGCAAAGGCGCCTCCTAAACACAACACTAGGCGTTCTGAACTATAGCATGGACTAGGTCAGACAGGAGTGAGCTATGGCCTTATTCCTCGGAGAAAAACTAGGAGAATGAAGATATGGATGCCTTGATATTTCCGCGACATGCCTTTATCGAAACGAATAGCGGGAGTGCATTCACTCCTGTTCTTTCTCCCTCCCCGCTGTGTGTCGGCAGGGTGTCATGCCCCTTCTGCCCCCCCCCCCCCTCTCCCCCCCGCTGCGCCGCCCCCGTCTGGGAGACATCCCACGGGACAAACGCGGCGGACTAGAGTGAGGCGGCGGGCCGGTGTGGGTGACTTCGGGCCGGCGGAGGCCGACACGAGATGAGGGCCGTCACGTCCCGCCCTGCCCTGCATCAACACGGCTGCTGCCAGTGACATGGTCAGAACCCTCAACGCGGGGCTGGAGGCGGGCGTCTCAAGCAGGCTTCTTGGACACACCCTGTCGCATACACTGCAGGAGCAGTCAGAAGTTCAGGTAAACAATGTGGTGGCTCTCCTGTAACTCTGTTTAGAGTTTGCAGGGCACAGGGGCTACGGTTGAAATGGCCGTGACTAGGGTTCGGCATATTTTGGCCTTTAGGGTGCGTTAAACTGCGAATTGAGCTATAATTCAACATGCATTGGAAGCGCATCAGTGAGAGCGCCAATTCAATCGTTCGATGAATGAATTTTTCGGACGTCTGCAAAATCGATATAAAACTGTGTCTGACACCCCGTGGCCGGGCAAGCTAAGTGTGTCTTGGCATCGCCCCTGCCGATACGTCCCTTCCGGCCGGCGGTAAGGTCACGTGGTTGAAACGTCTGCACCCGGCACTAAACAGCCCAAGGATACGATCATGCAAAAGTATTATGCCGGTGCTCAGCGGTGGTCGTGACTGGAACGGTGGGCAGAGCTGGTGCAGGCATCATACTTGAGCCCGGTAGGCATTGTGGACTTGCCCGGACTAATAGCTTATTAGTACAGCTAGTTGACAAGATTTTATGGATGTAAAACAACACAGTGGGTATATGTTTCTTTACTAATATGCATGCGCCATAAACAGTAAAAGCTATCCATTCAGAACAAGCCGAAGAGAAGTATTAGTAAGTTTCTTGCGACCAACGCCACCCAGACGTAAATAAATTCGAACTATGTGAATGTTAGGGTTCAATGAAAGGCATGGCAACAAAAATTATTGCCACGCATAACATATAAAGATTATTACCACGCACGGACCGGAGTGGTCTTGGACAGCGGAAAATACCATTTCTAGTATTTCCATACCAACCCAGCCTGACCCGACGCGGCTTGACCAAAACCCTGTTCAAATGATCACATTATTGCACTTTTGCAGCTCGATGTAGCTTTCAAAACCAAGAAATTGCACGATTCCTTTACATGTCTTGCCTGGAATATTTTCCACCCCTGTGCGTACTAGCTATTGAATCGTACAAAGTGTTTTTCAAGCATGATACGACGCTAACAGCCATGTTTGGAGAGAGCTCCTTTCTCATAATGGACGACAAATGGAAGCTTTTTATATTTTTTCAAGAACCGCGATTCAGACCACGCTGTATCTTTCGTAACCTGGATTTTCTGATCGTGGTACTTTACCTATCGGCTTGAATGCGCATAACCCATTGCGTGATTTATTTGCATCTGGTCGTTTCATGTCAAAACGTGAATGTTGCCACAACCAAGCGAAGGAAGCTATTTCCATCTTGCTTTGTTTTGCAAGAGAATAATTTGTCCTCACCAGCATTTGTAGGTGAATCAGATCAACCTAAATATATAATAAATATGTCATTGTTGTCATAATTAATATGTTAAATATGTTGTCATAAATATGTCATGTCATAGAATGCATCTAGTCGAAACGCTTTGTCGTATCAGTCGCTGCCAAAAGACCAACAACGCAACAACAACAACAAAAACGCAACAACAAAATTTTCACGCGAGCAAAGCGTGCCATAAATGTTTTCCTGGGATGCACCGTGCTGGGTCGTTTTGTCGCTGAAATTCAACGTCCGCTCTCATTTAACGTATGCTGTATGCGTCACTCCGCCGCCTACTCGCAGTCAGCGACAAGCTCTTAATTTGGTTTTTAGTTTTAATTATAGCAATTAACGTTCAATGACCTTAACCGCCCATGAATTGCCGGTTTTAATGAATAGTCCAACGTTAGTTTCACACGCGGCCGATAAAATAATCGTGAGTACTGATGACATTGTCGCTTTTCTGCCACGCACCGCTGGCCGATGGTAGAACATGGACAAACAACTTAGGCCCTATGCAAATAACCAGGGTACCCAATAGCGGAGAACAGCGCCTGTGACATTATCAATTATCTCAGCTCAAACACGTCGGACTGGCAGTCTCCGGCAGTTCAACGTCGCGCTACGTGAGGATTTTTTCGATAGTAACTTAATTTACTGTGACGAACAAAAACCAGACAAACGAATAAATACATTTCCACATATGTCTTTATTAATAACAACCTACGATATTGCTTTAAGGCTCCGCATGTCCTTGTTTTCCGTTCGTTTCCGTTCGTTCCCTTCTTAGATCAGTTGCTGTCGAAAATATACCTAATGCAACGTGACACAGAGCTGCTGGAGGCTATGAATTCGACACGTTTGAACGAAACGAAATCAGCACATTTCGACTAATCAAAGAACAGACTACCGCACTGACAAAAACACGATTTACTAAGTGCGGGCAGTCTACGCGAGCTCGTTTAAAAACCAAAGCTCAGGCAGTTTCTGGACATTTTACAGCATGCACGCCAGACCTCGGCAGACAGTGCACATAATGGCATGGAACAAACTGCATGATGTAGGCGCATGTATCGTCTACAAACCACTCATGCTACCCAACATCGTCCGATCCGTAGTGACGTTAACACGCGATCGTGAAGCGACTAATGTCGCGTTTTTCGAAACCGATCTCGAAAGCGACACGCTGCTGCCCAAACCGAGTGAGAGTTAGGCCGGAAAAACAATAACCCGAAACGTGGCCTGCCGCAAGTTCACGGATTTCGTCTGAAAAAGCCCAGCTCGTTCGACGGCCAGCCGAGCATCAGGTCGGCGCGGACTGCCAGCCGGCGCCGTCCATGACCTGGCTGTGCAGTCGTGTTTTTCAACTGAAGATCCTCTGTGCAGCAGATACATTCGGAAGGCGCGTGGCCGCACGCTGAGCAGCCGAGTGCTGTAACAACACAAGACAGAAATAATGCGGCTGAGATAACAGCATGCAGTCGTACTGCCACACAGCCGTGCTCTGCACACTTGAGTCCATATGGGTTCAGGTGGGCGGAAAGCCATATGCTGCGAAACGGAACGGATATACCAATAAACCAATTTAAAACTGGCTGGCGTACTGCATGATATGTCAGTAACGTGTGTCCACCTTCGGAACAAATCTCGAAAACATGATCTGGTGAACTATCAGAACCTGTCATTAATATGAAAAGCACAAAAAAGTGAAACTGCATCACTAACGGGACATTGTGCGTAAATCAGTGTTATTCATTTTCGAGTCGAAATCACGCGGCCAGCATTTCAAACCAGCACTAGATCTCTTTCTTCGTTTAGTATTCCAATATGCCATCTCGTGTATGCGTATTTTTAAAGCCTTGGACGATTCTAGCGCACGCAAGACGGCTTGTACCATTGTGTAAGTCATAGCCCTTTTGGATAATTGTTGGATTTTTGCACACCGTATTCAAATTGCAAACGAAGACTTTCAATACGCTATAACGGTCCTGTTCAGCATTCAATTGCTTTTCACATTTTGGCCAAGAAGTCGTTTTTGGCCCGCATAACTTTAACGGACCACTCCGACGCTGCCTACATATTCGTCACGGTAATGCATGAAGCCATTGGACCCAGCCTCACAGCCATCGGCCCAGGTTTTTCAACCGTGTTGAGTGCCCCCGCCAGACTGGCTACCGTGCCAGGCTGCCCCCGCCAGACTGGCTACCGTGCCAGGCTGCCCCCGCCAGACTGGTTACCGTGCCAGGCTGCCCCCGCCAGACTGGCTACCGTGTCAGGCTGCCCCCGCCAGACTGGTTACCGTGCCAGGCTGCCCCCGCCAGACTGGTTACCGTGTCAGGCTGCCCCCGCCAGACTGGTTACCGTGTCAGGCTGTCCCCGTCAGACTAGCTACGGTGCCAGGCATGGCTACCTCACCACAACGTTCAAATGTCCATGCATATTCACATCCTCAGGCCAGTGCGCTTTGCAGACATTGTAATCACGTGGCTTCCCCGCCGGTCGGGAGAGCCGCATTAGCAGAGGCGATGCCAAGAGTCTGATGTCGGGAGAGCCGCACTAGCAGAGGCGATGCCAAGATCCTGATGTCGGGAGAGCCACATTAGCAGAGGCGATGCCAAGATCCCGAAGTCGGGAGAGCCGCGTTAGCAGGAGACGATGCCAAGATCCCGAAGTCGGCAGAGCCGCATTAGCAGAGGCGATGCCAAGATCCCGATGTCGGGAGAGCCGCGTTAGCAGAGACGATGCCAAGATCCCGAAGTCGGGAGAGCCGCATTAGCAGAGGCGATGCCAAGATTCCGATGTCGGGAGAGCCGCATTGGCAGAGGTGATGCCAAGATCCCGACTGTGTAAGCAACATGTGTCCCACGATGCGTCCCAAGCGATGAAATGTGTTACGTGAGTTCTCCTTACTCATCTAGTTACCTGAGATGTATGCCTGAACACGACCACGGGCCGCGCCGCCGCGATAATATCGATAGGATACATAATGATCTGATATGATACGGCACCGTGCCAGATTGGCGCCGCAGTGCTCTGCCATCAACGCCCGGCCGTCCGACACTGTCGTCTGCCGGCCGCCCTGACAATCGACCGACGGAGTGCGGCGCCGCCTGACGCCCGTCATGTGGGTGCTGGTGCTGGGGACGCTGGCGCTGGTGCTGGCCGGCCGGCTGCTGGCGCGCGCCGCGCTCTGCCGGCGCCGGCAGCCCGTGTTTTTGCCGGACGAGCTGAGCCAGGCGACGCTGGAGGCGTCGGCACTGGGCGGCAGCGAGTACCGTCTGGCGCGCGGCCTGGCCGTGCCCACCGTGTCGCGGGAGGCGGGCGCGCCACCGCGCGATGCCCTGCTCCGCTACCGCCGCCACCTGCGCGACAGCTTCCCGGCCGTGTTCGGCTCGGGGCGCGTCACCGTCGAGGCGGTGAACGAGCTGAGCCTGCTGCTGACGGTGGCCGGCAGCGAGCCCCACCTGACGCCCTACCTGCTGCTCTCGCACATGGACGTAGTGCCGGCCGTCGAGGAGCACTGGAGCTGGCCGCCGTTCGCCGGCCTCGTCCAGGACGGCTACGTCATGGGCCGCGGCGCCATCGACGTCAAGCAGACGACGCACGCCATCCTGGAGAGCCTGGAGCGGCGGCTGCTGGCCGGCGACCCGCCGCGTCGCTCCTTGCTCATCGCCCTCGGCCACGACGAGGAGGTGTCTGGGCGACACGGCGCCGCGCGCGTCGCGGCGCTGCTGGAGTCGCGCGGCCAGCGCGTCGCCTTCGTCCTGGACGAGGGCTCGTTCATTACGCGCGACGTGCGGGGCGTGCGCGCGCCCGTGGCGCACATGGCCGTCACCGAGAAGGGCTACCTGGACGTCAAGATGACGGCGCGCGGGCCGGCCGGCCACTCGAGCCTGCCGCCGCCGGGAGCAGAGACAGCCATTGGGCGGCTGACGCGCGCCGTGGCGCGCCTACTGCCGAGCCGGCACCCGGTGCGGCTAGCCGGCGGCCCCTCGCTGGAGCAGTTCCGTGCGCTGGCGTCGCTCGCCTCGCCTCTGTTCCGGCTCATCTACGCCAACATAGCGCTGCTCGCGCCCGTCTTGGTCTGGGGCCTGAGGAAAAAGCCGGCCTTCCTGCCGCTTTTTCAGACGACGACGGCGGTGACCATCGTCAAGGGCGGCTACAAGGAAAACGTGGTGCCCGGGGAGGCGACGGCGGTCATCAATCACCGCATCATGCCGGGCGAGACGAAGGAAGACGTTCTGGAGCGCGACCGCCGCGCCATCTCGGATCCCAACGTTCAACTAGAGGTCCTGCACTACAAGGCACCGGCGCTGACGTCGCGGTTCGATGAAGAGGCGCCCGTGCTCGGTCTGCTCGCTGCAACCGTCCAGCAAATCCACGGTGAAGATGTGGGAGCGGCACCCACCGTCCTGGTCGGCAGCACCGACTCCATCTACTACCAGGGTATCACAGACACCGTCATACGGTTCGACCCCATCGTTTTGTCCAGTAGTGAAGCGAAGATGATGTTCCATGGAAAGGATGAGAAGATCTCCATAGAGAACTACCACAACTGCATCCAGTTTTATTACAAGCTGATGAAAAACCTGGAGTGCCCGGCAGTCATCAGCAAGCTTCCCTGACAGACGAGGGAGCGGGATGCTGCGGGCCCAGACAGGCGTCCGAGGAACTGAGCCAAAATTCTCACCGGAGATCGTGATAATGGCCTCTTACTGGCCCAACGTTCGAAAAACGTCTCCAAGTACATGGCATGAGCCGAAAACAGCAATGACATCCCAACATGTTTTTGGAGAGTTTTCAGCCAAATGGAGAACGCAAATCATATAACGTAATTAAGCTTTGTATGGTGTATGATAATACACTATAATTAATCAATCACGCTTTGGTTATTTTGCTATATACGTACCACTGAAAGAAGATTATGACTGACGTACGGGATAGGATAGGTCAGTGGCGTAGTTTTGAAAAATGAGTTGAAGCGGAAGGAAATGAGCAGTGAAATATGACGCAATCTGCCTCTAAAATACACAAAAAAAACGTATTTCTTCCCGAATTTCACTCACTTTCTTCTTAAAGTAAGAGGGCGGGGTCTGAAAGAGGGGGGGGGGGGGGCTGGATTCCTCAGCGCTGAATAGAAAACGGCACCGCTGACGTAAGCGCATACTTTCAAGAATTCGACGGTTGTTCATAAATGGTGTGATTCTTGGCGACATGGGACCGGAGGCATAGCGAGCTATGCCCACTGTCTTTGCCCACGTCAGTGATCACTAGTCAAAAGTCAGCATCGTCGCGGAAACTGTTGCGCTGACCCTCTGGGTATATACAAAAGTGTGCATCTCACCACCTAACGCTCACTCTCGAACCACAGGCATTGTGGCGCTCGAGTCTCCCAAAAATTAGAGAAATTCCAACGGGCGGCAGTGCACGGGAATGGGGCGACTCGAGGCGCCTCTGAAGAGTCCGACGACTTCCATCGCTCCTGAGTGTTACGTCGATCTGTTCCAATGATATTCGACGTGGGAATCGTCATGTTGCGATGAAAGGGGTCGTATGGTGACAGGCGGGGAAGACTTATTTAGATCAATTGCGTTCAGATGCGCCTCAAGCTGCATTGTGTGCAGCAATCCCTACAGATAACTTTGAATTGCTTAAACATCTCAGGATGTGCTAATGAACGTGCCCCCGTGTACATGAAATGCTGAATACATATTTGCACCGGTTGAGATAGTGGCGTCGTCGGCGCGTGGCTTGTTGTAGTCTATGACACTGTGTGTCGCTTGGTCCGCAGTAAGACAGACGGTGGATGTTGGCGCGGTCGCCAATGGACCACCACACCACTTCGGCGATACAATGACTTTTTCGGGGTCATGGGTTTTATCAACGGAGGTGGAGGGCGCGGCAATACTGTGGCCATCGAGGAGACCCCGCCATCTAGCCTCACCCCCCCCCCCCCCCTCCCACAGGGACCCCAACTTCAGGGTTTGTACGGGCTCTCGGACCTCGACTCTTGCCATGGCAGTGCGGCTTATACCGGCTTATGGCTGACGGCCGCAGCTTATCCCGGTGAGATGGGACATTGCAAGCCAAGACGCAGCCAAGCACATCCCTCCCCTTCGGCTTATACCGGCTTATGGCTGACGGCCGCAGCTTATCCCGGTGAGATGGGACATTGCAAGCCAAGACGCAGCCAAGCACATCCCTCCCCTTCGGCTTATACCGGCTTATGGCTGACGGCCGCAGTTTGTCCCGGTGAGATGGAACATTGTAAGCCCAGACGCAGCCAAGCACATCCCTCCCCTTCGGCTTATACCGGCTTATGGCTGACGGCCGCAGTTTGTCCCGGTGAGATGGAACATTGTAAGCCCAGACGCAGCCAAGCACATCCCTCCCCTTCGGCTTATACCGGCTTATGGCTGACGGCCGCAGTTTGTCCCGGTGAGATGGAACATTGTAAGCCCAGACGCAGCCGAGCACATCCCCCCCCCCTCCTTCGGCTTATACCGGCTTATGGCTGACGGCCGCAGCTTGTCCCGGTGAGATGGAACATTGTAAGCACAGACGCAGCCAAGCACATCCCTCCCCTTCGGCTTATACCGGCTTATGGCTGACGGCCGCAGTTTGTCCCGGTGAGATGGAACATTGTAAGCCCAGACGCAGCCGAGCACATCCCCCCCCCCCCCCTCCTTCGGCTTATACCGGCTTATGGCTGACGGCCGCAGCTTGTCCCGGTGAGACGGGACATTGTAAGCACAGACGCAGCCAAGCACATCCCCCCCCCCCTCCTTCGGCTTATACCGGCTTATGGCTGACGGCCGCAGTTTGTCCCGGTGAGATGGAACATTATAAGCCCAGACGCAGCCAAGCACATCCCCCCCCCCCCTCTTCGGCTTATACCGGCTTATGGCTGACGGCCGCAGTTTGTCCCGGTGAGATGGAACATTGTAAGCCCAGACGCAGCCAAGCACATCCCTCCCCTTCGGCTTATACCGGCTTATGGCTGACGGCCGCAGTTTGTCCCGGTGAGATGGAACATTGTAAGCCCAGACGGCAGCCAGCACATCCCTCCCCTTCGGCTTATACCGGCTTATGGCTGACGGCCGCAGTTTGTCCCGGTGAGATGGAACATTGTAAGCCCAGACGCAGCCGAGCACATCCCCCCCCCTCCTTCGGCTTATACCGGCTTATGGCTGACGGCCGCAGCTTGTCCCGGTGAGATGGAACATTGTAAGCACAGACGCAGCCAAGCACATCCCTCCCCTTCGGCTTATACCGGCTTATGGCTGACGGCCGCAGTTTGTCCCGGTGAGATGGAACATTGTAAGCCCAGACGCAGCCGAGCACATCCCCCCCCCCCCCCCTCCTTCGGCTTATACCGGCTTATGGCTGACGGCCGCAGCTTGTCCCGGTGAGACGGGACATTGTAAGCACAGACGCAGCCAAGCACATCCCCCCCCCCCCTCCTTCGGCTTATACCGGCTTATGGCTGACGGCCGCAGTTTGTCCCGGTGAGATGGAACATTATAAGCCCAGACGCAGCCAAGCACATCCCCCCCCCCCCTCTTCGGCTTATACCGGCTTATGGCTGACGGCCGCAGTTTGTCCCGGTGAGATGGAACATTGTAAGCCCAGACGCAGCCAAGCACATCCCCCCCCCCCCCTCCTTCGGCTTATACCGGCTTATGGCTGACGGCCGCAGTTTGTCCCGGTGAGATGGAACATTGTAAGCCCAGACGCAGCCAAGCACATCCCCCCCCCCCCTCCTTCGGCTTATACCGGCTTATGGCTGACGGCCGCAGTTTGTCCCGGTAAGATGGGACATTGTAAGCCCAGACGCAGCCAAGCACATCCCTCCCCTTCCCCTCTGACTCGCTGTTTTCAATTTCACCATAGATGGCTCCCAACACAAAGTTTAAAAAAGCGCGATGAATTTTCACTAAGCTCTCCCCCCCTCCATGAAAAATTCTGACTTGCTGTGGCCGATTGCATGCACAAACTCACGCGTGCCGTTTTTTATTTAAAACGATCGTGGCATAATGCAAGTTTACCCACGGAAGTAATTCGAGTTGCATTACAAAAACTCACATGCATAATTTCCTAACTCATCCGTGAACTGCTGTTATGCACTTTGAAATATGGCACGGTCAAAATTTCCTTTTTGACAATTACTGTCCCAATATGCTCAGGTAAACATTGTTCATATGCGCAAATTGGAATTGTGTAGCCTCGGATGACAAATTTACTGATGTATACCGAGAAAACGCCCTTAGCTGGTTGCGCGTCTACTGGCTTTGATAGGTCCTTGATACTAATAACGGTACTTGATATCGGCGAGATATGAAGTACCATAGTTTTGTGCCTGCAATGGGTTCACACAGTGTGGGCATTTTTATCGTTTCATAACGCACGCGCACGCTCATTGCCGACACACCCGCACAGCAGACGCCATCCTCGGTCCCGCGGCTGCCCTGCGAAGCCCGCTCCCTTCCCTGTCCCCGACGCAAAACTCCAGGAATAACGCGGCCGGGCGCCACCGTGCAGCCGATGGCAGCCAGGTGATGTTGCGAAACAGTTGAAACTTTTATTTTGGCATCGTATTGCGGCATTTAAGGTGGCAACTTTGCCGAAAGACAGCTTAAAATGTGTACGGTTCTGTCCCGCCTAAGCCGGCAGCGTCATGCCTGGTGCAGGGCCGTATGATCTCGTCTCGTCCGATTCCGTCCGATTCCGCCCGGTTCTGTCCGGTTCCATCCGGTTTCGCCTGGTCCGTCTGGTCCCGCTCTGTCACATCTGGCTGCTTTCGGCCACGTCTGCTAACGTTTGAGGTTGTCTGGTTGCGTTCGGTCACGAGTGGTCCCCTTTAATGTCGTTCGGCTCGGTCCGGTCCCGTCCCATCTGGTCCCTTCTGTCTCGTCCAGTTCCAGCTGATCCAGTCGCCTCTCGTCTGTTTTCGCCCGGTCCCTTTTGGTATGATCTGGTGCCGCATGGTTTCGCCCGCTCCCTTCTGTCATATCAAGTCCCATCTAGTCCCATTCCGTCCCATTTTTTCTCCCCGTGGCCATAGGTTTATTCACCTGTCTTACCAGACCTCAAATCCTGGTGGCTTTTTTAAATCATCATGGCTACTATTGTTTCATTGTTCATTCGAGTTGCGGTTACTACTGTCATTGTTCTGTCTTTCGACTCTTTCGGTTCGATTTTTTCCGCGTCGACTTTTCGTCTTATAACTTTTTTCCTTTTCTACTTTTATCCCTGTCAACTTTTATCCCTTTCGACTTTTGTCGGTCGACTTTTACTATTCGTTTTCTCTCCTTGTCGACTTGTTCGCCACATTTGTTTCGTAAACTTTTTTAATTCAATTCCCTTTCATTTTGCTATTTGTCCGGGAACACTATTTAGTTTATTTAGGCGTTTCGGCCCGTTCGGTCAATTTGACGCCTTGAAGAAGATCGTTTGAATCCCTGTCCCTACATGTAATAATCTATCTATCAACGTATCTATCTAAGTCCATTTTTTCCTTGAGCATTGCCTTATACTGCACCAATTTTTAGAATAGAAATGATTTGTATTCGTCTGATTGCACTACAGGTAAAATAAGAATGTTTACCTTGATAAATTAACGTAA